GGTAAGAAAAATCAATGGCACAATCGCAGTGGGAATAGATACAAGGCGAGTCAGTGCTATTGATCAACATCCATCATTGCACAGCCATAAAAAAGAAGTGGAAGCCAGGCTCGGTGGCTCAGCCTGTAATCCCACGCCTTTGGGAGGCTGAGGTGAGTGAATTGCCTGAGCCTGCGGGTTCGAGACCCGCCCAGGCAACTTGGCAAGACCTCATCTCTACAATAAATCAAAAAAATTAGCCGGGCATGGTAGCGCGCGCCTGTAGTTCCAGCTGCTTGGAAGGCTGAGGTGAAAGGATCGCCAGAGCCCAGCAGGTTGAGGCTGCGGTGGCCGGGAGCAGTCACTGCACTCCAGTCTGGGCGACAGAGTGAGACTCCAACCCCTCAAAAAAAAAAAGAAGTGGGACTTGGTGCTTTCCTTACTGGTACACATTGACTAACTCAGCAGAGTGAAGGGGTTCGATTCCTGAACTCCATCTGTGTCTACACAGACAATCCACAGAGATCATAGGCAACAGTCAGCACTCGTGTGGCAATCAGCTGCTGAAGACAGACAGACCTGCAGCCCACTCATCCCTCACCTGTGCCTGAGCTACTGAGATCATCTCAGCCCTTAGGCGGGCAGGAGGCAAGCATTAGTGTTGGTCAGTATCTCCTCTAAGAGGTCAGAGGAAGTGAAAGACAAGACTGCAGAAAATGAGACCCATCTTGACAGGAGCAGGCATCGTTGCTGTTGATCAGTCTTGAAAACATCAATGTCACTGCCAGTACTCAGTCTTGATGGAACCCAGGAGCACGGTCTCGGGGCAGATGCCTGCATTTGCAGCTGGGCTCTGCTTCTGGGGGTCTGTGTGGCTCTAGGCACATGGTGATTTAACCCTCCACACCTCAGTTTCATCATCCTTAACATAGGAATAATACCTGATAGTACCTGCCATAGAGGGTTAGGGTCAGGATGAAGTGGGTTGATCATGTGAAGCACTTAGAAGACAACCTGGCTTTACTCTCAGCTATGCCAGTGATTCCTTTTCCTGTCTGCAATAGATCTTGCAGCCTTGGCAGTGATCTAAGCCACTTAGATCCCTCAAAACAAGACATCCACTAAAGTCTTCCCCACCTCTAGGTTTCTCTGTTTCTGTGTCCAACCTAGAATATTTTTCCAGGTTTGGTTCACCAACAGGCAGCTTCAGCTTCATCTGTGGCTTGTTAGAAGTGCAAGTTTTCAGACCCATCCCAGACTTATGAAACCAGTATCTTAAGGCAGGTCCAGGACTCTGTGGCTTTACATACTATTCAGATGATTTTTAAAGGTGGACAAGCATTATCTCAGAATGTTCTCTTTACTGAAAAACTTCAAGCCAGATGGCCACTTTCAAGAACCCTAGTGGTGGGGCTGCCTTGTTCACAGTACCTACAGGGATCAAATGTCATCTTCGTTCCCTTTGTCATGTGGAATGGTTGGACGCAACAGCTTGGGGGGACTGTTGAAGACCTCAGATCTCACAATCAGATCTGTTAATTAAGAAAAAGATGACCAGACATGGTGGCTCATGCCTGTAATCCTAGCATTTTGGGAGGTCAAGGCCAGAAGATTGCCTGAGTCCAGGGGTTCAAGACCACCCTGGGCAACTTGTTGAGACCTCCTCCCTACAATAAATTAAAAAATTAGCCAGGTGTAATGGAACGTGCCTGTAGTACCAGCTGCTTGGAAGGCTGAGGTGGAAAAATTGCCTGAGCCCAGCAAGTCAAGGCTGCTCATGGCTACCATGAGCATACCACTGCATTCCAGCCTGGTTGACAAAGTAAGACTGACTCAAAAAGAATGACACAGAATGAAAGGAAAGCCCTGACTGAGAAAATCCCAGCAATTATAAATTGGACTGTTTTATCCCCAGTTTTTGTTTGTTTGTTTGTTTTTTGAGTTGGAGTCTCACTCCTATCACCCAGACTGGAGTGTAGTGGCCACTCCCGGCCACCGCAGCCTCGACCTGCTGGGCTCCGGCGATCCTTCCGCCTTCAGCCTTCCAAGTAGCTGGAACTACAGGCGCGCGCTACCACGCCCAGCTCGTTTTGATTTCATTGTAGAGATGAGGTCTCGCCAAGTTGCCCAGGCGGGTCTCGAACCCGTGGGCTCAGGCAATCCACTCACCTCAGCCTCCCAAAGGCACAGGATTAAGGCTGAGCCACTGAGCCCGGCTTTATCCCCAGTTTTTATATCATTGTGACTTTAACTCAGATTTCCACCTCCATTCCTTATTTGCAATCCAAATGGGACTATAAACTAAACTGAAGATAACAGCGTTGTGATTGAGAACCTTGGATGATGGCCCCCACTGCATTTTTTAAATTCAGCTAAGGCTTGTAAGAGAAACTGTGAGAGTTTGTTCTTTAAGTAGATTATTGGCAATGAAACCTCATCAACCACATTTACTGTTTTCCCAAAACTCAAGATACTACAGTAAATAACCAGCACAGCTATCTAAAGCAGGGTGATGAGTACGTGATGAGTATGTGAATAGACATCAGCCTCACCTCTTGCTCTCTTTCCACTTCCACATCTCTATTCATCTACTTATCTCCAGGAGACTTCCCCGTGTGATCAGCCAAAACAAATATAAAATGCAACATTTCTAAGATGAACTTCTTTGATCTCCTCTAGGGCATATATTTCTTTTTGGATTCCATCAGTGAAACTATTAGCTTCCAGTCTTCTTCCTATAATAAAAACGTTGAGGTGTTAGCTGACTCATGGCTGTCTGGTGCATGATGATGTCACTCAGATGCGCTTCTTAGGGTTGCTGTATGTTGGAGGCACAATGTCATCCAGATTCTCCTCCCCTCAGGGCTAGGTGACTACACTCAACCTTGATGAGTCAGGTGTGTGCTCTCCTTATTCACATGTCACCACTGCAGCAGCACCAAAGACTCTTAAACACTTTTTTCTTATCCTGTCATTCATGCCCTTGACAGAGAACCTACTCTGCCTTCATTGTGTCTGTTCTAGCAGATATGAATCTCTCTGCCTGGCCTCCAAGCTGCCCATGGAAAGAAGTTTCCATATTCCTTTTCATGTCAGAAAACCAATGTGCCATTTCTGTTCTTCCACCTGCCCTTCCCACCTCCAGAGCATTGTACATGTCATTGCCTTCCAAACGTTGTCTTCTTCCTGTCCTTCCATTGGTCTTCATCTCTTGTTTCAGTACTCTAATTAAGGCTGGGCGCAGTGGCTCACACTTGTAATCTCAGCGTTTGGGAAAGTTGAGGCAGGAGGGTTGCTTGAGGCCAGGAGTTCGAGTCCAGTCTGGGCAACATAGCAAGACTTCATCTTTACAACAAATAAATTCACCAGGTGTGGCACTACACACCTGTACTCCAGCTATTTGGGAGACTGAGGCAGGAGGATTGCTTGAGCCCAGGAGGAGGTCAAGGCTGCAGTGAACCTTCATTACGCTACTGCACTCCAGCCTGGGTGACAAAGCAAGATCCTACCCCTCCAGCCCACCCCCAAAAAACTCTTCTTAAGTCTTCGCTCCAAGTCCCTTTATCCTTATATGCACCGTTACTGCTATATTCACAGTCTTATGTGTACTTTGCTAAGTGATTTTTATGTGTAGGTTCTTATCTAGAGAGTTTACTACTGAAGGCCAGAAGCAGAGACTATCCCATTGCGTTTGTTAATGCTACACTTGGGCCATCAGCCTGGAGTGCTGAGGTTGATAGCATGTTCAACATAAAGTAGGCGCTCACGACAGGTTATTCACTGACTACAAAAGGTTGCTTGATCCCCTGAAGACTACCAGAAGAGAAAGAGCACTTAGGATAGCCCCTAGCTGAGGCATAATTTAGGGAGCTCTAATGAGACCCAATTAGAAACCTTCCTCCTGTTCTCATATGAGTCATGTGAATGGCAAAAGTTAGTGTATGAAGAAATGGGACTAACTGTGGCTTTCTGGATGGTTGTGTGCTTCTCTTCAGTTCTGAATGCTTGCCTGGTTTGCATTATGATTTCCTTCCTTGCTAGAAAACATAGACTTTCTTCCTTTCTTTGGAAGAAGCGGTTATCTGTTGGAAATCGGAGGCTCCAGGATTCAAATGCAATGGACTTGGCTGTAGTGCTCTGTAGTGCATTTCTTGACAAGTCCTGAAAAGACTATTGAATTCTGGCCTGGGCTTTTCTGCAGTGTTTGGATGTGTTTCAGCTGCAGTGTTTGGCTGGATAGAGTAATCGAAATAGTTTTTTTTTTTTTTTCCTTCTTCCTTAGCAATCCTATGTTACCATTTCATACAGTTAAAATGGAATATTTTACAACCGTGCAAATACTTTGGAGTGCAATAGAATCAAGCTCTTCTACCAGCAAACAACCTATCTTTAAAAATTATACATAAACAAATCAAAATAGAAATTGATGGTGGTATCCTGATAGAAAAACTGGCAGACATTTAGTGAGCTTGCTAGAGGATACCAAGTTACACTGAAGATCTATTATTATTATTATTATCATCATTATGATTATTAAACATGGAAATTTTTGTGGGAATTTTACTTAATAGAGGAAATTTTTATTTCTCTTTTCTTTCATACGATTAAAATGCTGCATCTAGTAATCTCTGCAATGTCACTCCCTTTTTGCATGTATGGTGGGCTGGCATTTTGATGCTCTGTGTATCAGGCTATTGTTCTCTGGTAATCTTCAAAGGACTGCTGGTCTTAGAATCTGCTCCATATCTAAAATTCTCACTTTAATTATCAGATAGGAGCCTGCATTTTTTCTTTGTGATTAAGGAGGAGAGAAGTGTGCTTATTATTCTGCAAAATATTTGAGGAGTAGGCTCCCAAATGTTGAATTTTGTTCTAGAAGTGAGAGCTGATCAAATTATAGACTCCTTCAAGCCAAGAGAGGGAAATGAATAAATCAGGGAAACAGAGGCACTGAGTGACACAAAGTAAATGCGTATTCATGTGCTGTACTTTGCGAACAACACTGGCGTTATGCCTTCCAGGGTCCCTGCAAGTCATGAACAAAACAAGAAAGATTATGGAACATGGCGGGGCGACCTTTACCAATGCCTTTGTGACAACACCCATGTGCTGCCCATCACGGTCCTCCATGCTCACTGGGAAGTATGTGCACAATCACAACGTCTACACCAACAATGAGAACTGTTCTTCCCCCTCGTGGCAGGCCATGCACGAGCCTAGGACTTTCGCTGTGTATCTTAACAACACTGGCTACAGAACAGGTAAGAGATGACATTTCTAGCCCTGAATCTCTGGTAAGACGTCTTAGACACAGGAAAATGCATTCTCATAGTAAAAATGAACACAGTTCCAGACAGACTCTAAACCGTAGGAAATTAGCTTCTCTCTTCTTTGCTCGTGTCTTTCCGTTCTTAACTTTTTACTCTGAAGAATGTGCCAATGAGAAACTCCATGTTAAAAATCAGAAGGATTCTCAGGGGACACAATATGAAAGTGTTGTACTCATCTGAGCAGCCAGGAGTTGGAATCCTGCTACAGATGAGTTTTTGTCCTGTTTACCTGCTTACCTCAACCTCCTAAATCTCCAGGTATTATGGCACAACTTGAGGCTTTTCTTAGACATTGGTAAAATTCTGCTGATTGTTTCAATGAGAAATTATCAAGTGTCTTTAATCCACTTAGCACCTTCCCCAGTTTCTGGGACATAGGAGGTGATCAAAATTATTTATTGAATCAGTGAATAACTGATGAGTAAACCAATGATGTGTAACTTATTGATTCATTTATTTGCTCATATTTTTGTCCTATAATTAATAGGATTTGGAAAGTTTATTTAGCTTAAGTTACGGTCATTTTTAGATCTTGAATGTTCACTTCTACTTTCCAGCAATTAGCCTCCTAACTGCTACATCCTACTATTGTTATTAACCTACACGGGGCAAGAAGAGGTTTTTGGTTAGTTGGTCTTTTGAAAATTGGGTACATCTTTCAAGAAGAGTCAGGAACAACATGCAATCTTTCTGAGAAAAAAAAGCAAAGCTTCTTCTGATAATGTCACCTCCAAAATCCCATCCACCCAGCATGAAGATGCTGCCCTTGGATTTTTGGAGCATTTCTTTGTGGAAGGACACAAAGATGTCTGCAGTATAGACACAGGTTTGGGGGAGTTTTTTTTCTACCTAGACTTATTCATAAGAATTAAAGATGTTATCATTAAAACTTGCTGGAAATGATTTTCAGGCCTATAGTTTCTCCATTTTGAAGATTTAAAAGTAAAGGATTTCAGATAAACATGCTCCTAAATCTCTCTTAAAAATGAAATTAATCTTTCCCACTGGATTCAGGAAATATATGTAGCCATTTGCTGCTTTGCAGAGCGCCCTGTGGGCACTAAATACTTGTTATTCATGGATGAAAATATTGATTGTGCATGCGGTAGCACTGTCACTCACAGGCATCTCAAGATCTCTCCTCACAGAAGAAGATCCTCCCGTGAATCTCAAGGGTTCTTGCATATGCTTCAGAAAGAAACTAGGTTACCAAAAGGTTACAGAGTGCCTTATCCTGAGTGTGTTTTCTTACATTAGTGATTTAAATTTATAGCACCTTTCATCTGAGGACTCTAAAGCAATTTGCAAATCCATCAAACACCCCTGTAGGGTTCATAGCCAGCAAATGTATCTGACTCTGTTTTGTAACTGAGATGGGAATTTCAAATATTGTGGGACCAGCAGACCAGTTCAGAAACAGAAACAAATGGTTGCCTAATGCCGGTTTCTGATATTAACAGCCAAAATTATGTTTTGCTTATGGGAAGTGTTGTGCAAAATCAGTGCCTTTCAGATCCCAGGTTCTCTATAATTTAATCCTTAGTAGCAGGCATGAAGCTTAAAGGGTGGGGCTTTCACATATACAGAGTGATATGAATATTATTTGTCATAAGAAATTGAGACTCAGAGGACTGGGCTTGGTGGCTCAGCCTATAATCCCAGCATTTTTGGAGGCCGAGTCAAGTGGATTGCCTGAGCCCACAGGTTCGAGACCAGCCCAGGCAACTTGGCGAGACCTCGTCTCTACAATAAATCAATAATTAGCTGGGCGTGGTGGCGTGAGCCTGTAGTTCCAGCTACTAGTTCAGCCTTCTAGGCTGAAGCGGAAGGATGGCCAGAGCCCAGCAGGTTGAGGCTGCGGTGGCCGGGACCATGCCACTGCCCTCCAGCCTGGACGACAGAGTGAGACTCCAACTCAGAAAAAAAAAAAAAAGAAATAGAGATTCAAGGTGAGACAGAGCCCTACCAGGACTTAGTCCTGTCAACTAGGGTTTGCTCATTTGTTTCAGTGCTAAATCAGAGAAGGCAAGAAGGGAATAAATGTTATTATCTCACCTAATTCTTATAGCAACCTCAAAAGAAAGGATTCCCCTGTGTTACCAATGAAGAAACCAAGACTCAGAAAGGCTAACTGTCTAAGATCAGAAGCTAGTCAGTGATGGCATCTGATCCAAAGTTTTCCCTCTTTCCATTATCTTTATTCACTTCCATAATGATTCTATCCTGCTTTGTATCAAAATGCCTTGCAGAGACACATACAACGTAATAGGATACAGAACGATAAGGGCCCTGGCAAATAGAAACACAGAATAGAGCTAAAGTCAAGGTCAAGGTTGGTGGATAAACTACTTATCATGATGTCTTAGGGAAAGGCTGCATATTTGGAACTAAGCTTCCGGGTTGTAAAAGCAAAAATGGAAACACCATCCACTGTAAATCCACTGGGTCACCAGATAAAAACAAATCAGTTGCCTCTAAGAAGCATAGTGCATTCTGGTACTTGTGTCTATTACACAGTGTTGTATCCCCCCTAAGATAGATTAAAGGAGCTTAACTAAAACTCAGAGATAATTTAGCTCAAATCTCTTATTTTTAGATGAGTAAACTTAGACCCACAAGTTTAAGGGGACAGCTGAAGTGACAGATCTGGTGTTCTAATGGTCTTCTGGGCTCCCCAATGTGCTGCTCTAACCTAAAGACAAGTTAGATCTAGAATCAAACTGCACACTTCATAAGGCTTGCCTAATGAGGACTTACTTTTGTATATGCAGCCCAGTGAGATTGCTTCAGTCAGGTGTCTTCTCCAGGGAAAGCAGATTTGCTTCTGGAAACTGAGTCTGATTCTAAAGCCAACCTTCTTCCCAGGGGCTGAGACATGTAGGTAATAATAGAATCTATAGTGAGTCATCTTCCAAAATAAAAGTAATTATTTAAGGGAAATAAGAACTTTTCCAAAAAATTGGGAGTAGAAAAAGGATAATATGCACTTAGAAAAATAAATCTTAATTTGCCCATTACTAAATCAGAAGATTAAAAACTGGAAGACTAATATGGCAACAATAGAAATATACATACATTTAAATTTAACTTTGATGGGAGAATATTAAAGTATCTCAGACAATTAGGAAGTAAAGATGTCTTTGCAACAGTAGTTATTGATCTACCCAGGGACAATGACCCATTTGAAAATACACAAATAAGCACATAAGAGTGACAGAAATCTTAGGAGACTGATGAGTAGATATTAAACCAATGTAATTATTTACAAGACACTAAACTATTAGAGAAGAAGCCAATGTATAAAAATTGTATTGTTTTTCTAATCATGAATTTATTATTTGGAACATTTTAGTTGCAAACCTAAGAAAAACAATGAAGGAAACTGAAATATGTATTATACATAAATACCCATCTAGAGAAAAGCACAAAACAGCAATCAGTGTTATGAAGAATAATTCAGAGAAGATAAATTACTAGGAGATTTATTTTGGGAAGCATCCAGAATCCATGGATTTAAATGAATTGAAATGATCCAGTATTATATTTACCATTGTATGACATGATTTTTCTTTCTCAGAACTGAGGCATATTTTTGGACTGGCTGTATAGCCTAAATTTTTTCTAACTTTACTCATGGAAAATATGAGTCTACAAGAGCTTAAATGTTCAAGAAGGGGAAAATACAGTAACATGTCTACTGCACTTTACGTTCTGACAAGTGAGGTGGGAATGATATTGGATTATCTATCATAAAAATGAATATCCTGCCTGAAACCTGCACCAAAAAAATTTAAATTTCTTATGAGGGTATAGACATTAATATAAAACCTGACATAAATTTTAAGGTACAAATGATTCACTGCTAAGAGGTAGCATCCAGTATTTCTTTTAAATACCTGAACTAGGACTGAACTCACATTCTACTCTGCCCTTGATTGTTTTCAGGACTTGTACAGGATGGGTTTCCAGCCTGTATAATGCAAGGATAGAATGAGTCTTAGGTGTTCTTTCCTGTTCAAAATTTCTATATTGTGTAACTCTATTATACTCACAATGATTATTATATTAGCTCATTTAGCAATTGTAGTATCTCAATTATAGTCACAACAGATGATATGTAAAATCAAATATGAATTAAATTTTAGTCACACTAATTCTGCCTCATATCATGGAGGTAGAAGAGGCAATATTTAATGGAGACCTGCAATAAATATTTTGTGTAAATAATTCTTTTGTAATAAATCAAATTATTCTTTTTAAATTTCATATCTTCTCACATTACAAAATTTATGGTACTTATAACAAGTATATTTATTTATTCTCTAATGCAGGACTTTTTAAAATGTAGAGTTCACTTGAAATAGGGCAAACTAATCTTATTTTTATTATGAAGTGATAGATTTTTGATAAGTACATAAACATGAGATCTAGCATACATTTATTGAACCACGGTGTACTTGGAACTACACCGGACACTGGGATATGAAGAGACACAACGTAAGATTCCCTATCTTCACTAGACTTGTAGTTTGATTAGGGAAGTAAGAATCCTGTGTATGAATGGATATAAATAATCATTTTATCTTGGTTCAAAATTTTATATATTTATAATTACCATGAAATCTTGCCACCTCAAGTCTATCAATCACATGAAGTAAAATCTCAATTAATATATCATTTTCGATATAGTGAATAAGATTAGACTTCTCTACAGCATTAGATCTTTTGTGTAATTACTATTGCTGATTTAAAAATGAATGCCAGCCAGGCGAAGTGGCTCACGTCTGTGATCCTAGCAGTTTGGGAGGCTGAGGTGAGAGGATCACTTGAGCCGAGGAGTTTGAGACCAGCCTAGGCAATATAGCAAGATCTTGTCTCTAAAAAAATCAAAAAGTTATGCAGGCATGGTGTCATGTGTCTGTAGTCCCAGC